TCTATTTTACATACTCAAATAACTAGACCGACGGTTAGATCTATTTTACATACTCAAATAACTAGACCGACGGTTAGATCTATTTTACATACTCAAATAACTAGACCGACGGTTAGATCTATTTTAGGAATATTCTCTTCCATCATTGTTTTAAATTTTTCTTGTTGTTCTTTTAATGAAATTTTTCTCTTTGTTTTTTTAAGTTCCAAAATTGGAACGCTTCTTTTAATATTAATATAGTATCAGCTTGCAGCTGTTCTTGAGGTAGTGTGAATTTAATTTTTTTTACCTTCTATCATGCATTAAAAGATGTTCAAACCAAGAGTTTTACATATAGCAATCACTTCGTTTATAAATGATTTTTTATTTTGTGTTGCCAGTAATTGACTAAGTATCAGCGAATAGCAAGTTTGATTTTTAATTAGCCTAATTAATAGGTTTACTTTATTTCGAAGAAGAGTATTTGAAATATCTTCAATTTTAAAAAACGAATGTAGATAATTTTTGCTATACTTTGTAATACAAAAAAAAATAGTTTTAAAACTGCTCTTCCAACAGCGTCTATGTTTCTTAGAAAACTAATTTCATAATTGCTCAGGGCCATATATAAGCTTCGGCACTAGCTCATAGCTCATGCTATATATAAGCTTTGGCACTGTCAAGGTATTGTATAAATGAACTATTGTTGACGGCTGACAAAAACGAATTTTGCTGTCAATTAGAGCTATTGCAACCAATTGAATCTGCATTATTCGCTCATTTAGATTTAATTTTTAAAGTATTGCGGTTTTGTTTTTGCTGGCACCATTATCACATTGGAAACCCAGATATTATAATTTATTTTGAAGATGTATATAAGTTCCGTTAATTTGAATAATGTTATTGGAAATTGAACTTTTACCAGAGATCCGTTTTCTCAGTGTTTAACTTGATAAAGTTTGATATTCCATATGTTTGAAATCTGTCAATCAGTTCTTGCAGACCAGATATTGTTGGACTTTAAAATTACATCATCTGCGTATGCAATGACACCAGTATAGATGCCATTTATCGTCGCGATAAAATAGACCCTTGTGACAAACTGAGTTAATTTGAGGTAACTCTCTAATAGGATATATTTGCAGTACCAGAACGATAAAGCGATGTGATTGCGTGTACAACAGATAAAGGAAGTTTTTTTTGGAAATAGAGCTTCTCAAGTAGCAAATCCCAGTTGCAAGTATCAATCGCTTTATTTGCATCTAAACTACACAGTGTTATTGGTGTTAAAGATGTTTAAATTGTTATTATAGTGTTTAATGGTTTCGCTCAATAAAAGTTCTGCGTTTTTAAAACTTAACTGGGAATGGCTATCTTTAATACTAGGACATACAAGTAAAATTAGATATGTTAAAAAATTATCATTAGATTTCGAAGTAATGCGTTAAAATTAATTTTTTTGTTAATGAAATCCAATTTGAGTGTTCCTTCAGGTAACTTAAAAATGTTTGGAAGCTTCATGTCACACAATGCCCACGATCTGCTTTTCATTTTAATAATTTTCAAAAAGATTTTCTGTGATAGCCACTTAAAGTTAATTCTTTACTCCTGAGTCCTTGAAGAGAGGTTTCTTAGTTAGGGAATAAGCATTTAATTATTAGGGACTAAGCATTTAAGTCAAGAACGTCTAGAAACACTTTCAGGAACCCTCATCCTGTATCAATTCTCACTTTGATAAGTTCATTTGGTTGAGGACCTCTGACCTGAACATAAAGTTTCTTAGAACTTAAATATCTTTTTAGTATACCAATAAACGTTTGGATTCTTGGCTATGACTTTTTGATGTATCTGAAATTTCTAAGGTGATAAATAAGTCAGAAAAATGCTTTCCAAGAGACTCCAATTTTTCCTTGAAGTTTTTTTCAACTACTCGCTGAGAGCTACTTTGTTCAGTGTTGGAAGAAGCTTGTTCATCTCTCTGTTTAAAAGCCCAATCTGGTTTTGAACTTGTAGAAGTTGTTAAGCAGTAAGGTGAATGTCCCTGCTGGAAAAAGTTTTCTTTGTTTTGATGGACCTAGAAAAAAAGTTTACATCAGCATAACATGGTTTTTCGTATTAAAATATTTTCTTGTTGTAACAAAAGAGTCACTTAAACAAAAGCATATTAAGCATTTATGATAAAAAGAAAATAATTTTCACCTGGAGTAACTGGAGGATGTCTTTCTTTTCCTTGACTAAGATGCACAGTGCCATGGGGTGTAGGAACCTTGTTAGCTATCAAAAAGGCAGCTTCACTTTCTGTTGCTTTTGTGTCTTTTGCTGCAACTTCATGCAAGTTTTGTCGAAGAAATCTTTTTTTACAATGTGGAATCCCTCTTCCAATCAGTGAAAAGCATGCTGAACAACTTTTCTCAAAAACTAGATGTTTTGGTAGTCAGACAGTGAGGGAAGTTGAACATCTTTACCATTGTCTCTTTTTCTAAGGCTTACTTAACAGTTTTCACAGATACCAATTGGGATTCTTTGATATTCCTAGTGACCAAAAACTTCTTAACAGCGTTTAACGATAAAGTCAGTCAGTTGCGTGTTAGCTTTTTTCAAACAGAGAAAACAGACAGCTTTTCTGTTGTCACGATGAGTTTTTGCTTGATTTAGCATTTTAAATAGTTTTGCACTTGTATTTTACTCAAAAGGCACAATCAAATTGTTCACAGGCCTTTCCAGGACTTTTAAAAATAATAAAGAACCTCTTACTTGAACAAGTTGCTTATTTTTGTTAGTAGCTTATATGAAAAAAAAAATACAATTTTTATGTATATATATATATATATATATATATATATATATATATATATATATATATATATATATATATATATATATATATATATACATATATATATATATATATATATATATATATATATATATATATATATATATATATATATATATATATATATAATATATATATATATATATATATATATATATATATATATATATATATATATATATATATATATATATATATACAGTACCGGACAAAACAAGTGCAACCAAATAATGCTAATTTAGTTTCTTTATATAAAAGTGCTGCATTTTTTCAATTTAGAGAATAACTATGTAACTGTTTTAACTACTTTTGCAATGTGTTTCGGATCGTTATCTTGCTGAAAAACCCATTTTATTGGCATTCAGCATGAGGTAACATAACATCTTTCAGAATACTTTTATACATGAAACGATTCATTATTCCATAGATTCTATGTATTGGACCTAGACCATTAGCAGAAAAACACCCCCAGATCATTACATTGCCTCCACCATGCTTCACGGTCTTATGGCAGTAACGACAATCGAGGCGTTTTCAGGCCGATCGACGTACACGGCAAATGCCTTCGCTTCCAATGATGTTGAACTTCAATTCATCACTGAACAGGACAGTTTGCCATTTCTGCACATTCCAGTCAATTTGAGCAAACAAGAGTCTTTTCTTCTGGTTCTTTAATGAAATTAGCGGTTTCTTTGCAGAAAACAATCCGGCTCCAACAGCACGTTGTCTAATTGTTCGGTCCGATACAGGTAGCTCTAATTGCTTTTGTATCTCGACTGACAATTTCCAGGGATCTTTCTTGACGGATTTGACGATTGTAGAATTCTCTCTAGAAGTGGTGGAACACGGTCTTCGACCTTTGTTATCTGCTGCCAACTTCCCCGTAGAACGATATTTGGAACATAGTCTTGATACGTCCATTTTTTCACGCGATGTCTATCACAAATACTTTTTTGTGACATTCTATTTACGTAATCGCCAATAATTTTCTTTCTTAGTTCCAATTCAAGACTGTCGGTTTTAAGACATGTAAAATTAGGATTGTTCTTTTTAGGATTGTTTGATGTTGATTGCAAATGTTATTTCCAATACTGTATATATATAAATAAATAAATAAATAAATATATATATATATATATATATATATATATATATATATATATATATATAATAATAATAAATCTTATTTATTTATTTATTTATTTTGAGCACGCACTAGAATTTTTGTATTTTATTTCCAAATACGAAATATCATATAATATGTACATACATTCGTACATATAAAATTTGACAAACCTATTAACTGAAATGAATATTTCATCTCGGACTGAAATTTACGTTATGTTTATAAATATAGATGTGAATATATATATATATATATATATATATATATATATATATATATATATATATATATATATATATATATATATATATAAAGAATATATATATACATACATAAATATATATTCATCTATATTTATAAACATTTCATTTAAAGGGTTTGCCAAAATTTATGCAGCCCTAGCTAAAACTCCACCATGGTTATGATTTATCAAACCTGGACCCGGTCAAATATCACCTTTGGCCGCTTACTCGTCACAAAATCGCAAAACCCTTCCCTTTATAGCGTGACGTAATTTTAGACGAATACTTACCAATGATATATTATATAAACTAGATGTCTAACTTGGGATTTTATTAGACAAAAAATGAAGCGGCTTCACTTTTTGGGTCGAAGTTAGACTTCGAATTTATATAATATAACATTGATACTTACAAGTGTTTAAAAAAAAATTTTTACGTTAGGGAAAGGTGGGAATTGATTTTGTAATAAATAATGCGTAAGCATGCAGCGGAGGAGGAGTGGGGTTCTGAAAGCACACGGGTGCGTACAAGTAACGATGGGAGTTTTTAATCATTTAATTATTTATAACTTATAACTATATTTTAAATTTTTATTATAAATTATATTCCAATTATTTTTTATTATAAATATTCCTTCGAAACAAAATAATATCATAAGTACTATTTTGATCAAGATATAACTTTGAAAGAAAAATCCAATATTCAACTTTTTTTAGACTCCTTTTATGATTGAAAGTAACCAATAGCAACTATAACTTTATTCAGGAAAATGTAGATTTGTCGAAGGTATTTTTTCTAAACATTAATCAAAAGAAAATTTGAAGTATGTTACAATAAAATTCTAAAAAGTAAAAATAAAATTTACATTATTGTTTACATTTCGTTATATTAGTCCATATTTCGTTATATAAATCTAATTCAAAATCCAAAATATTAAAACATTCTTAACCAGTCACTTCCTTTATTCATTATTTGACTACAACGTCATTTACCAACTGTAAATAATAGATATAGCGCTTCATTAATATATATTTAAAAATATATGTTAAAATATAACTTTTAACGCCACCTTCAATATAAAATCAAAGTTTTCAATTGTGATAAATGACAATCGGAAAATCGTAGTGTAAACGAGGAAATTCAAGCGCAACCAAACCCTAAAATTAAAAAAAGAAATGATTATTCATTTCAGTTCATTTTTTCAGAAATGATTTTATAAAACATGAAAAACTTTATTTTCCGTGGATACTTTTAAGCCAGTTACAATTATTCAAAAGAATCTTTATTAAACTAAAACTTTTTTTTCTCAATAGCATATATTTTTAGCTGGTTTCTTTGCTTTCGAATCAATACAATAACTGATTAAAAAAACAACTTATAAAATTTAAATTAAAAAAAAAATTTTTTTAAATAACTAAAATAATAAAGTTATCATTATTTTGTTATCATCTTGTGTTTGTTCTTTATACTTGTTGCATGCTGTCATATACATAATATTAAATTAATCTAAACGTAACTACTTGTTCAAGTATGAATACTTAATGGTAACATCGATTGAAAATGACTGTCAAATGATGTTTTTAGCAATCAAAACGAAAAAATTTAATATAAGAATCAATACAACAATCATAAATAACAACCTTAAAGGCAGATTTTTGTTTCTTTTAAAAAAGGTACACAAAGAGCCCTCTACAATGAACAGTAATATCAAACAATTAAGAGCTGAATTAGAGCATCAAAAAACATATGATAAATAGCCACCAGATAGGATAAAAAATAATCGCAAATATCACCAGTGGAAACAACCTGCTCCAAACTTAAAAAAATGCTAAAAAATTTCATCTGTATTGGTGCTGGGATTGTAGAGCGGACTCAACATTTAGAAAATATTGTTGCAAAAAATAATAGTGGGCGATTGTGCATGTGCTGTGCAACACAATATGAGCCATTATGCAACCAATTTAAATTTGAAAGACGCCCATATTGATGTTTAACATTGCAATGATTGTTAATGGCATTATTAAAGTTTATTTTTAATCTAATAACTTTTTGTTAATAATAATTTTTGTTTTATTGATTATTGTGTAGTCTTCAGTTAACAAAACTTACAAAAATTGGTTTACATTGACACTTTAATATTTAAAGTTATTGCCAAACATCAAACATATTTTTTGTGGTATTTTCATTTTACTATAATTGGTATGTGTGTGTGTGTGTGTATGTGTGTAAGCATATGGCAGGGGGATGCAACTCGCTCAAACTATGTTTTTAAAAATTATACGAGTTTCCAATTACAAATAATTTCTTTGCAATTACATCTTAAGGTGTAATTAAAGATTCAACTTTTAGATGTAAACTACATGTAAAATTGTATTACACATGAAAATGTAATTTTCAAAAAGATAAAATAACACAAAAAAGCTAAAATTATAACAGCTAAGAAAATAACAAAAAGAACATTGATAAAAGTAAGAAAACAGAAGACTTAAAAAAGGTGTTTTTTCACCCAATTAATGCATTATTTAATATTTATGTTATTAATTTATCTGTACTGCATCAAAATGCATTTGTTTCAACAGATGCATCTGTTGTGACATAGCACATTGATACCCGTACTTTGTTTCAACAGATGCATCTGTTGTGACATAGCACATTGATACCCGTACTTTGTTTCAACAGATACATCTGTTGTGACATAGCACATTGATACCCGTACTTTGTTTCAACAGATGCATCTGTTGTGACATAGCACATTGATACCCGTACTTTGTTTCAACAGATGCATCTGTTGTGACATAGCACATTGATACCCGTACTTTGTTTCAACAGATGCATCTGTTGTGACATAGCACATTGATACCCGTACTTTGTTTCAACAGATGCATCTGTTGTGACATAGCACATTGATACCCGTACTTTGTTTCAACAGATGCATCTGTTGTGACATAGCCCATTGATACCCGTACTTTGTTTCAACAGATGCATCTGTTGTGACATAGCACATTGATACCCGTACTTTGTTTCAACAGATGCATCTGTTGTGACATAGCACATTGATACCCGTACTTTGTTTCAACAGATGCATCTGTTGTGACATAGCACATTGATACCCGTACTTTGATTCAACAGATGCATCTGTTGTGACATAGCACATTGATACCCTTACTTTGTTTTAGGAGACTTAAAACAATTTTAAAATTAAAAAAAAAGTTAAATGTACTCATTAAAATGCAAACAGCCTCAGATGGGTTTTAAAAAAGGTCCATCGAAGGCTAATGTATCGTACCTATTATGGACCCTGAAAAACAACCAACAACAAACAAAGTGTCTGGTTGTTTTTATAAGGTGAAGAAAAATCATACTTTGAGAACTTGTGATTTTAATAAGCAACTGAAACTAGTTGCTTATTAAAATCACAAGTTGAAAAAATACCAAAAAAGAATTGAAAATTTTATTATTGATTAGATCCCTCTTTCTTTAAGAAAGATGTGATTGACAGCATCTATGATCTTATAAAATTAAAAATGAGCATAATGTGAAAAGTTTGTCTAAATTTACTAGTTATTTTTCTTAACTCTAGATTTTAACAATTCTCAGTTAAAAAGTAGATTTTTAAGAGGTTCAATAATAATAACTGAAGTTTGGCCAAAATACTTAATTTTGTAAAGAAATTTCAAGCTCAAAATCCTTAGGTAATTAGCATATATAGACTCTAAATAACAAAATTCTTTTAGTTGCAAATGTTTTATTGCAGTTGTTTTATTATTTAGGTTGAAAACCTTTTTACCCATGTGTTATATAACACTTATTAAGTGTAATCACACATAATACATTCAAACACACATAGAGGAATAAAAGTTAAATAAGGTGTGTGTATTTTATGAAATACTAGCATGCACATGTGTGTGTATTTTACTTGGAAAAAAGGTATTATGATGAAAATATACAGTAATAATTTAACACTAACAATTCTATTATATATTTGTTCTAATTATGAAAGTTCATATGTAAAACAAAATAAGTATGCTAAAAACAAACAATAATTTAACACTAATAATTTTATTATTTTTTTGTTCTAATTTACGTTTTAAAATTTACCTGCCAACAAAGGCGTTCTGTAATTCTTTTCATCCATGGAAAGCCATGGCTTGAAATAACTTCTTCGTAAAATTCTTCAGCAATGTCCCCATCCTCATCAACATATTGGGTGCTTAATGTAAATTAAAGTTATTCAAACTAAAAAATAATAATAATTTAAAGCTGTTTTTTTTCTTCATTACATCAGGGCTTGTAATGAATAACTTTATCAAGCTTCTGTTTTATCAAATTTTATCAAAATCCTGTTTTTCCAGGCTCATAAATTCTAAAAATACTCAAAATAATACTGGTCAGTCAATCTACTCAATTTTTTTTTTGTACAACTTTCTTTCATGTATATAGATCAGAAATGTGTTTATTTTATTTGTCAGCCCCTCGCTTTAAGATTTCTTAGTGCAATTAAACAAATTTATTCTAGTAAATAACATTTATTAGGATAAATTAACACAGAGAATATGTTATAGCATAAAGCTTTTTCAGAAATATAATTTATTATAGTCAATTTGTTTACTTAATTCCTTCCAGTAATTTGGTTCAGCATTATATTCTGGTATTGTTCCAGTAAAATATTCCAGTAATACACTCCAGAATATGCTCCAGTAAAATATTCCAGTAATATGTTCCAAAAATTTTGTTTCAGATATATATTTTAGTAATTTATTTCAGTAATTCGTTTTAATTACTTGTTATGGTAATACTCTCCAGTAATGTTCCAGTAATATGCCGCAGCAGTTAGTTCTAGTAATAGGTTTCAGTAGTTAGTTCTAGATCATGTTGCAGTAATATGTTCAGTAATTATCAGGATTATAAGCATCATGATCAACCTAATACTGGTAACATGTAGTCTAGTACAACATGCCTTATTTGTCAAAGTGTTGTAAAGCCCATTTAAAAAACTTATACTTGGCATTTCTCTTGGTATAATTTAAATATCATACTTGGAAAGTGTTTTACATTAAAAACTGTCTCTTGACATTCAAAGTTAAAAAATATTTAAATTAAAAAAGAGAAGTTTTGTAATGAACAGTTTTAACTTTAAAATTGACTCAATAACGCTACATTTAATCTTTAGCCATAACTATTACAACTTTGTAAATAAGTAATACAAATTTTACAAAACTAATATAGTAAAATATATGTTTACATAATTAAATATAATAAATTTCGTGAATATATGAAAATACCTGATGATGAATTTTTCAAAATAAATGCTGTTGATTATACTTTTTTTAAATTTTTTTATTAGAACCTTGATAAATACTTTGAAATATGTATGTGTGTGTGTGTATATATATATATATATATATATATATATATATATATATATATATATATATATATATATCAGGTCTTGTTATGAGATTTTGCTACGTAATAAAAACGCTTAACGCATTTAAAAGTAACTCAACTTAGCTTACATATTTATATCGTTAAATTAAAAGTTAAATTGCGTCACTAGAGTAACTTTAAGTACCGCATTGTTATTTTCCAATCGCGTTAAAAATCATTAAAACAATTTTTTCTATTATTTAACTTTTACAGTTTAACTAAAACAAAAGTTAAAAATAAAATCTAAACTCATATTGGAAATGGATTATTATTTTTCTGAAAACTTTTAAAAATCTATTATTTGCTTTATTACAGTTTAGTTTTGGTTATTTTTTGCTGACTATTAACCTGTTAATCTTTATCCTTTGGTTTTTCTCCTTTATTTTCTTTTAAGTCATTTGAAATTTGGATCACATTTCTGTGGACAGTACTTTGTAAACTCAGAGTAGCGCTGTCTTTTTTAATGTAAAGTGTCCCATTTATATAACATAATAAGAATGTTCTTATTGCTCATTTGGTATTGGTCTTGATAAAGCGCAGATACATTACAGAAGATTTTTACAACATACATAACTCTATTCTCTTCAGCAGTTTCTGTACAAATAAGTTCTGAAAGATTCCATTTTTTAAAAGATTTCAAAGTAACTCTGTTTTTATTCAAAATGTTATCCATTTGATAAATAATTATAATTTGATAAACTTAAAAAAAGTATAAAAAGACTAAACATTCCATTTGTTAAAAGCCATAGTAAACATAAAAAACCTTATTAATAAAATGTCATTAGAAAATAACAAATAACTATCATAAGCTAGAAGTAAATTCCGCTTTGTTAAAAACATATTGTTGTTATCTTTTTTTTAAAGTAATCCTAGTCTCGAAACAAATTTAAGGCGCATTAAACAATAGCCAACCTTACTAAGTCTAATAACTATTTTACTTTAAATTACAATTATTGTAGCCACATGTGTCTTAAATTTTTTTCCAAATGAGACACACATAAAACTTTCTTATCCGATAGTTATTAACTAAGTAACATTTTTGTTGTGAACAATGTAACGTTTCCCATTACCAAAGAAAGATCCATAAAATCATTGTGATTACAGGGAAAACATTTTTAGAAACAAGAAACAATTATGCTAAATAGTATTGTTTTTTTCTTAAGTATTTGTGATAAATATTATATTTTTGTATACATTTTTATAAATATCCTTAAGGAAGTAATTTGAGTTTAAGTACTCGAGTAACCAAATCTGGTCAATCATTTGCAATCTGACACCAATATAAATTTTTAGTTATATGACGCCATTTTGGGTTGAAATTAAAGATCCGTTTTTATTTTGTTTCTTTCTAATAATTGTTAAAAGTTTCCTTTATTTATAACTACAATTTCATACCACTTTACAGTTTTAAACAGTGCTTAAGCAAAGCATAAAAACTATCAACAATTTATTTTAAAGAACTTGACTTTGGTAAATTCCATCTACGACTCATAAACTTGTTCAACATTTCTGATCGACGTTCTTTCTATGATCAATTTAAAAAAAAATTTGGTAATGGAAAAACTTCAAAAAAGCAATTTTGACACTAAAAGTCATTTATTTCATTTTTAAGTCTAATATTAAATCTCCCCTCTTCTTAAGGAGGATAAGGGCAACAACCCTTATTCTCTCACTACCCGTGAATTCGACCCTGGGTCTTGCCAATCGATGATCAGGCAATACTTTAATCAAAAAAGTACTTATGATTAACTTAAATAATTTAAGTTAATCATTAATACTTTTATTTGTATTTTTTTAATTAAATATGATAAAAAGTTTAAACTTAAAAGACTTTATTTTCTTCAATTCATTTTTAATTAAAAAAAAAAATTAAACAAACTTTTTTTTCTAACTAAAAATCAATTAGTTCACAATTGCAGTTAAATGCTTTTGTTTACGACCAAATATCTTCTGAACAAAATGTCACATAAACGACATTCAAAGATAATTTAAATACTACAAAAGAAGTTTTTGCGAAATTGCGTAGGCAAATTGCCTTTTTGCAAATAAATTGCAAGTAGCGTAACATTACTTAACAAAGTTTTTATTTTATATATATATATATATATATATATATATATATATATATATATATATATATATATATATATATATATATATATATATATATATATATATATATATATATATATATATAATAAAATAATTTAAATGAAAAAAATACAACTTTTTATTATTCAAATATTATTAAAAAAATTTTTAATAATATTTGAACATCCGCTTTATTTTTTCTAGATGCTTTTCTACTTTAATAAATGTTTGGAATTGATAATGTTGCTTGAACAAAGAATGAACATTAAAAATAATAAGTGCTTAATAAATGTAATAACACTATTATAGTTTTATTACTTTTATAATGCAGTTAGTGACTAAAGTGTTATTACTTTTGTAGTCATAAGTTTATTGTTTTTGTTTTGTTTTTTGTAACTTTCTTGCTAGCAAACTTTTAATAATTTGCTCCTTATAAACAAAGTACACAGCTTTGCATGAACTAAAATTTTAAAGACCTAATATTTTACCAGAGTTTGCATATCACGATCATATAGTTTAACTCTTGATATAAACTTGTTACATTATAATTATACAAATATATTTTACAAACAGATGATGATACATATTTTCTCTTTCCTCTTTAAAAGAAAAAACACATAAAATATGGGGAATTCATCCCTTTTAACGTCTAAAGCCATTTATTTTTTTTTTTGCTTTGACTTACTGAATTTTGTTGCCGATAATATAAACCACTAAGAAAAAACAAAAATAAAAACATCACACAAATTATTTAAACTACTATTATTGTTTTCTATTTAAGTTTACTTTAATTTCTTAATAAGTTATTAAATTTAAAACAATTATTCAGCAACGCATATAATAAAACTTGCGCAAACGGCCGTGATTACATTCTCTCACTTGAAAAACGTTTTCGTGGTCGTACAAGACAAAAAACTGCATGCCTTTCCTGGAAAAGCTTGATATATATATATATATATATATATATATATATATATATATATATATACAGGCTTCGGTGGGAATAAATGAGCACAAGAGCAGAGAAAAGCTCTCCTAAAATGAACTTAAGGAGCTGTGCGAGCTGCTCCTCATTTAAATCAGCGCTCTTTTTTAATTTTAATTTTTTTTTTTGCAACAACTGTGCTTTTTAAAAAGCATTGCAGTATATTACAGGCTTGGTCGGGAAGCGGGAGCAATCATTCTCGAATACTGACCACGGAAATTATATTTAGTTGCAAAAAACTGGCCAGGTTTTTCAGTTGTTCTGAGAACATTTAAGTTTATGTACGAAACAATGTATTTTGGTTTTACGGACATACATGTAAACATAAAAAACTTGTTCTTAAAACATCTTGGTGCGGAAGAATAAAAAGAATATTCATGAATACTAAAAACCCGCCAAATTAACGAACAAATAATTCTATTGGTTCAAAAAATAGGCTGACTAAGCGAAATGATTTGACTTATTATGTAACAAACATATAAAGTTATTAGATATAAAGAAAAGTTTCTAGATTTTAGTTTTCTAACACTAATTATTTTCGCTTTAGTTGCCATTCTTAAAAACTCCTTATACTTTTTTTCTGCTTTAAATACTAATTAAAATTAAAAAGCCCACTCATTAAAGATCATCAGCAATATTGTGAAGCAGCTTCGCCTCCTCGTCATAAAGTATTTTTAACATTTTTAGTTGATTTCTATTTAGTTAATTTAATTTCTTTGGTAATTCAATGATTTAATTATTTCATTTGTTTATCTTACTAAGAAGAATTGTTTCAAATATGTTAAACTTTTCAAACTACGCAAAACATAAAATAGGTATTAAAAAATTAACTTTTTTATTTATAAAATGATTTGACTTACATAAAACTAAAACTTTGTTAAATAAAGAGCATTTGTTCCTTTTTAAACAATCGTAAGATATTACTTTATATAAAAAACGTCACTTAATTTAATAAAAAAATTATAAAAGAGCGATGTTTCAAAAATATTTTTTTTTAACGTAATTTATTTTGCTTTAAGTTTTTCGCAATAAAAGATTTTTTAATTTCCTAATTAATTTTTTTTTAATTGTCTCTCATTGGTCTTATTAATCTAGAGCGCTTTTTTTTTTTTTTTTTTGCTTTCTCTAAACAACTAAAAAATCTGGCCAGCTTTTCGCAACTAAATATTATTTCCATGGTCAGCAATCGAGAGCGATCACTCCCGCTTCCCGATCAAGCCTATTATATATATATATATATATATATATATATATATATATATATATATATATATATATATATATATATATATATATATATATATATATATATATATATATATATATATATATATATATATATGTAGGTATTAAAATATATATATATATATTATATATATATATTATATATATATATATATATATTATATATATATATATATATATATATATATATATATATATATATATATATATATATATATATATATATAATATATATATAATATATATATTATATATATATATATTATATATATATATATATATATATATATATTATATAATATATATATATATATATATATATATATATATATATATATATATATATATATATATATATATATATATTATATAATATATTATATATAATCAAACTCATTAAACATAAATATCGCATAACCAGGCTTGGGTAGGAATGGCGTGCAATCGAGCGCTATTGCTGACCACGCAAATGATTTTATTTTTTGACAACTTGACCACGATTGTTTATATGTTTTGATGATTTAAAAATTTCAGAAATGCTCTGAAAGAAACGCAAAGCTAAATTTAAACTAGGAAAAAAATTAAAAAAAAAACTAACGAAAAAAATTTCCTAACAAAAAAAGAAACAAAAAACAAATTCATAACGAAAAGAAAATTATATAAGCACCAAAATGAAAATAAAAACTTAAACTTGAAGCTAAACTTTTTGTTACATTTTTAACTACTTACGAAATGAACGTTATTAAAGCTTATCTTTTTAAACGTTGTTAAAGTTAAGCAAAACGTTTTTAAATTAATAACAAATTACTACTAATGACTGGTTTAATAAATAAACAAATTTTATTAAATTTATTAAAAAGTGTTGTATATAATATTTTTAAATTGTATTAATATAAACATTTATTTTTTCAAAAAAAGTTGCAAATAAAATTGTTTAAAAAAATAACGTAGTCTTTTTACAAAAGTTACTTTTACTAATTTCATGCTCTAATTAGTAAGTCTAATTAAAAAAAGGTTTTCAACTTTTTTATTCGTAAAAATAAAAAAATAATAAAAATAAATAAAATGCACCTGCGATTTAAATAAAATAAACTGCCAACATTTTTAATTTATTTTTAACTTGAGCGTTACAACTTTATTAATAAGCGCTTCGCGTAACGAATTTAAAAATTATTATAAAAGATTTAAACTCATTCATTCCTAACAAAATTAAAGAAAAAAAAAAAAGAAAAAAAAGTGTTTACAAAAAACAAAATGTTTATTTGAAACATTTTAAAAAATTGTAAGTTTAATTATAAAAATTAATCGTATGAACATTACAAAATGCTATAAAACTTTTTCATTAATCAACAAAATACATGCTTATATAAGCAAATAAAGTTATTTTATATTCTTGTGTAATTCATATAAAATGTGTAAAAGCTAGTAGTCGCAAAAGCTTTTGAACTTATTCACAAATTAAACTTAAAAAAATTCTTTCTAAAAATAATGGTTTTAGGAACACATGGAAAATTAACTTTTTTATGATAAAATAAATGTTTCAAATGTTTAAATTTAACATAAAAAATACATGCCTACATAAAAAAAATTATATATAACGTTTTGTATTAATTTACATATGCTTTAGAAAAGATCAACAATTAAAAGATATTTATAATGTAACACTTTTTTTATTGCATTCAATTTGTTAAAACATCGAAATAGTCGTGATCAAGTTGTAAAGAAATAAAAACATTAGTGTGGTCAGTTACAGAGTGCTATCGCATGCCGTTTCTGTCCAAGCCTGTATAACAAGAAAATGTTTTTTTTTAAAGATTTTATTACTGCTCTTTACGGCGAAGAGATTCACAAAAAAAAGAAGAAAAATATAAAAAGATACGAATTACAAACGAAAAATCTTCTTCAAAAAAGAATAGAAAATATAAAGGTGAAAATATAATGAATAAAAACAAAAGAACTTGGAGACCATTTTGGTCAAATTTTAACTGATGCCATTATATTATTTTATAAAAACTATTTTTATTTTACGCCTGTAATGTCTTCATTTTTGATGGTTTGATTTTTATAGTTTTGTAATAATTTTTGTAACGTTTTTTATTCCACCTGATGATGCTGACCGCTATAGGTCAGCATAATCAGGTGGAATAAAAAACAAAATATATATTAACACCAAAATATATTTAAAAAAAAAATAAAAAAAAATATATATATATATATGTATATGTATATATATATATATATATATATATATATATATATATGTATATATATATATATATATATATATATATATATATATATATATATATATATATAAACTATCTTAAATCATTTAATGCAACCAGGTATAGGAATGATACGGAACTTTCCAAGGAAATCTGGAAACTTAAAGACGCGGGTAACATGCCTATAATTAAGTGGAACATAATTAAAAGATGCCAATCTTTTAACCTATCTACAAAAAAGTGTAACCTTTGCATCAATGAAAAGCATTTTATTATGACTTTTGATAGCCGACTACTACTTAACAAAAAAAGTGAATTGGTTTCTGCTTGTAGGCATAGGAAAAAATTTTTACTATCTAACTTTGATTCCGGCGATTAGCAAATATCGGATCACTTACAATTGACGTCAGATGCCGTTGCAACGCTAAATTTGTATTTTTTATAACGGTTTGTAATTTTTATAACGGTTTTTATTTTTTACATGAATAATATGGCTGATGATTGCCGAATGGCATGAAACTTTCAGTTCCATCATAAAGTTGTATTTTTTTCATTTAAATTATTTTATTATATATGTATATATATATATATATATATATATATATATATATATATATATATATATATATATATATATATATATATATATATATATATATATATATATATATATATATATATAATATATATATATATATATATATATATATATATATATATAATGTATACATTTTATCAAAGTTTGTTAGTTGAGCAAAATAATCTATAACCAGGAATGCGAAGTCCCAAAAAAATTACAGCATTAAATCTCTTTTTTTTTTGGTCTCTTATGTCCATTTCTAAAAATGTTGAATGACTTATGATCTGCAATAAAAAAATTAATGTTATTTAATGACTGTTTATTTTACATAAAGATGTTTAAAAATTGATTGTTCTGAACTTGAAACTCTTAATTTTTTCCCCTAGTAGTCCATTAGCCATTTTAGGAGCTTTTGGATACCAAAAACTAGAAAGAAATAATCTTTTTGTTACTTTCAAATCTAGAGTCCTTTTTGGAACTTCATACCCTGAATTAAAGACATTCAGTTATAAACATTTAATATGAATACATAGCTTAAAAAACTTTGTTATTTGATAGAACATAGCATCCTACAACAGAACATATTAGTAGTCTAGGATTTATTTAATAAATTTAATTGATAAAACAACAATTACTAATGAAATTTATAGGAAACTTTAATATAAAATTACCTAGGTTTGTGAGTCACAAATGGTGTAGCAGCAATTGATTTTTTCTCAACAATTTCATCATCGAAACCAAGTATCCATTTCACACTGCACAATACATTTTTCAACCATCCCATTTCAACATCTATTTGTCTTTATTATATATATATATATATATATATATATATATATATATATATATATATATATATATATATATATATATATATATATATATATATATATATATATATATATATATATACATATATATATATATATATATATATATATATATATATATATATATATATACATATATATATATATATATATATATATACATATATATATATATATATATATATATATATATATATATATACATATATATATATATATATATATATATATATATATATATATATATATATATATATATATATATATATATGTATATATATATATATATATGATATATATATATATATATATATATATATATATATATATATATATATATATATATATATATATATATATATATATATATATATATATATGTATATATATATATATACAAAGTTATTTTAATATTTTATCAAACTTTACTTGTATCAACAAAGAAATCTCAAAACTAAAAACAAAATAAACCAGCCATAAAAATTTAAAAAAATAAACTTACTGATAAAAAGAAAATTAAAAATTTTTCACCTACATTTTTATTAAGACTGCCACTTATTAGATCTGTACTAAAACTCCCACCCCAAAAAAAAACATAAGCACTTTAATTTTTAACACTTTATAAAAACATTTTGTTTTTATTATTCAGCCACTTTATTTAAAAAATGGGATCATTTATGCTGCCTATTTCTGCACTATCTAATTAGTTTTATATTATACCAAACAAAAGTTTTGCTTCCAATAGCCATATAATCACAGGTTTGATTTTTGTTAAAATGTAACCATCCATACATTTTATTACAGGGGAAAATTCTGTAGGAATTTTACAGATTTTTATAAATTACAGATGTTACAATAAAAATATTTTTGCATGATAACATGGAAATTAAACTGAAAAAAAAATCAAATCTTAACTCTTCTATTAACCTTTTGTTAAATTAACCAGCCAACTTGTAAATAGCTAGCTGAAATCAGCTAGCTATTCTGAAAAATTTTACTATTAAACCAACAACTCTCTTCTTTAAAATCAACCTTAGAGACCTAAGTGAACAATAGTTAAAAAACCTAACATTGCAGATCTACCATGTAGGATGTTATTTCACAATACATTAAAAAACAAAAAACTACTGAGTCTTTCTTGAAAAGAACCAAACAGAAAAATATTAAATAAAATTATACTGAATTTAAATGAAAAGTAAACGGGTATTATTGAACAGTCCAATATTTATTGTTCAATATCCAGTAATATCCAAACAGTTCAATTATTAATATCCAAACAGTCCAATATTTAGTGGCTATTTTAGTAAAGAAATTTATTAAAATAATACTTATAATCAAGATATTAGAATATTAATAATAAATCTGGTTAAATTTGCAGAATGTGAAATGTATTTTAATGCAACCATTAGCCTTAAACAATCTAGTTATACTTTATAACAGATAATTTGTTAAAAAAATTAAATACTTAAAATTAAAAATCATTTATTTTAACTTAATATAAACAGCTATAAACATATACACTTAATATAAACAAATTTAATAAAACTTAATCTAAATATACCTATCTTATCTAAATTTACAAATATACAATCTACAATTGACAAAAAAAAAAAAAAAAAAAAATCGCCAAAAAAGCAATCTTATACTTTCGTTTTTTGTTAAATACTTATCCACAATATATTATCATATTATAAATGACAGGTTATTACTGATAACAAGCAAATTAAAAAAGTTAAGTTATCACTAATAACCGACATATTCTCATTTTAACGCTTTTAAAACGTTACGGTGAGCAGTTCAATAGAAAAAAAAATTGAACGAATTCCCGATTCCGGGATTAGGTTAATAAATTTTTTAATAAATAACACGAAAAGAACTTGGACAAAAATTTCGGCTCTGAATATTTAATAACATCATCTTTCAGTTGAATAATTAATAATATCAATTAATAATAATATTTTTTTTATGCCGCTGTATTTAACTACATTTCTCATGGCCAGTTACATCTATTGGAGTAGTAATATACTGTTGTCTTTTTTTATTTGACGAATATTTATAGAGTATAAATTACTTCAGAAATGGTTACAATTCTGTTATCAAATTGATAAGAAAATGGTTGATCAATTATCAGCCATTCAAAAGCAACAAGAAATAACAGCAACCTATTTAAAATTCCGACTTACAATGATAACCAATGTAAGTCGGAATTTTAATTAGGTTGCTGTTATTTCTTAATACTGCTACTTCAGCAATCAAAGACCGTTTCAAAGGAAATGATATTGGTATCTTAAAGGATATTGCTTGTCTGGATCCTCAAAACTTTCAATCTTTGGGTGACCGTATTGTCGGCTATAATTTTCATGATTTAGCCAATATTGCTGGTATACAGAGGAAAAAACTGTGCAGAGAGATGACATCATTTGCAACTAATTTCCCATTAGTTAGTAAGGCTAACTAAACTGAATCAGAAAAATGCTCCTCCGAAAAAAACTGCAAACGGATGTTTGAGTTACGTTCGTCGTTTTCTCCATCGCTACAATTTACATTGCTCTGTATATTCTAATATGAGTGATGCATATAAAATGGCATTATGTCTCCCTTGCACACAAGTCAAGTGTGAGCAAGCTTTTTTGAAGTTGAAGATTGTAAAAAACTGCCTTTGTAGTCTTTTGGGTTAAGAGCACCTTAAATCACTTATTTTAATGAATTTTTGTTAGTATCAGATATAATATTAAAGCGTGTACACGAAATAAATGTGAAAGTAGAAAAACTTCTAAAAAAAAGTCTTATCAATTTTTATTTAGAACTAAGTAATAATTTTAATACATTGATATAAGAAGATAAAATATTTCAAAAAAAAAAAATCATTTCTGTAAACATTTGATAAAAATTTCCAACTTTTGCTTTTGTGGTACCCATAAGCTTGCGCACAGAATAACAATCAAAACTATTTATTGCTTTTTGATGACATTTTCAAATTTTTTTAAATTTAAATTTATTTATTTATTTCGTCCTTTGAAATAAGCTTTACAATTTTTTACAACATAACAATATAAAAGTTTTGAAAAATTCCGACTGGAGCTGGCACATTATACACATGCATAAACTTTTTTTTTTTTTTATTATTATTATTTTTTTTTTTTAATATTATTATTATTTTTTATTTTTTTTTTATTTTTTATTTTTTTTTATTATTTTTTTTTTATTATTATTATTTTTTTTTTAATTTTTTTTTTTTTATTATTATTATTTTTTTTTTTATTATTTTTTTTTTATTATTATTATTTTTTTTTTAATTATTTTTTTTACTTCAATATAATAACATAACTTTGAAATCCATCCATATTGAAGAAAATACATATTGAAAATACTTATTGAAAAAAATAAAATAAAAAACGTATAGCGTCAATATATGAGTGGGTCAAAACCCAAGGGGTACAAGTGACATTTTCATAGTTTTGAGATACTCAGCTGTTGTTATGTTTTTCCAGTAGAAAGCAGCACAGGGCAGAGATTCACTTGTATCCCTTGGCCACCAACAATTTTGTTTGCTTCTTCTATCAAATTCTATACTTAACTTAATTTTGGTAAAATTGTCACTTGTACCCCTTGGCTTCTGACCCACTCATATAAGATATTAAGGGGGAAACCCCCTCTGATTTTTTATTTTATATTTGTATTTATATTTATTTTATTTATATTTGTATTTTATTTTATTTTATTTGTATTGTATTTTATTTTATTTATATTTTATTTATATTTGTATATTTTATTTATATTTATATTTTTATTTATTTTATTTATATTTTATTTATATTTTATTTGTATTTATATTTATTTTATTTTATATTTGTATTATATTTTATATTTGTATTTTTATTTTATATTTGTAACTAAGGTTATAATAAAGGTTTTAAAAGTTAGTAATTGATTATAATCAAAACTGATTATGTGTTTTTTCGTTGCACGTTTAGAATGTAGAGTGGAAGTTATAGTCTTTATATTACTTGTTAGAATCGAGTTTCGCAATCGTGGCCCTCTGCAAGATATTGAGAAGTCAGCTTGTTTTAATAAAGTTTTTGGAATAACAAAGTTGTTAATTGAGTATTTAGTTTGGTATTTGTGGTTCATAGAAATAAATTGATATTGGGAAGTGTTTGGTTGTAGTAGATTCTTTAACTTAAACATAAAAAGTAGTATGTTAAGAATATTTACTTCGAAGACATTAAGCACTCCAAGTTCTCTTAGTAGAGGTTTAGCACTGGTGTACCTCTTTGCATTTAATATTAAGCGACATGCATCTTTTTGCTTTTTGTAAATTGCATTTAACTTTGTTGGGCATGTACTCGCCCAGATTATGTTACAGTAATTGATGCAGCTATGAATAAAAGAGAAATAAATATTTTTTAAACAAGTTATATTAAAAAGATGCTTTGATTTATACATAATTCCGATAATTTTAGATATTTTTTAAATTAAAAATTTTAGATATTTTCTTTTCTGCTTTTTTGATCTGATTACTCCAGCTAACTCTTTCATTAAAAATTACACCTAAAAAGTTGATTGAGTGTTCTCTTTTAAGTTTAGTTTTGTTGATAAGCAGTTCAGGAAGTTTTAAGGGGAGGGTGTCTGAACCAGAAGATTTAGTAAAAAGAATTTATTTGTTTTTTTCTTCGTTTAGCGAGAGTTTGTTGGCCTTAAACCATTCGCTTAGATTTTCTAGCTCTTGATTAACCGTATTAAAAATGAAGTTAATGTTTTTGTGACAAAAAGATACTTGCGTATCGTCAGCAAAGAGAACAAAGTTGAGTTTATTGGAAGATGAGAAGATATCATTAATATAAACAAGGAATAGCAATGGCCCTAGAATTGATCCTTGCGGGACCCCACAGTTAATCTTTTAAACAAAATTTACAAAGCTTACGCGTTTCTAAATAGTTTTTTGTTTTTTTAATTTTTTTTGTTCAATAGTTGTCCAGT